CTTTGTGATTAGTGAATGAAGCATTCATAGACTAACTTCTTCTGAATGTTAAATGTATATCTTTTCACCATTGAAAATCGTGCAAAGTTGCTTTGGCTGTAAATTGATAACAATATCCCGTTTACATCTGTAATGATCTAAATAGTAAATGGTTCTTTTGCTCAATTTCACTACAAACAGTGTGTTCCTTGACAGCTGTCGCACTACACGATCAGCTAATTGAACAACAGAGCCTCTTCTAAATAAGTATACATGTATGTTTAGATTGTGCAAAGACATTCTAAACCTACAGATGTGATATGTACATTCCTGGGTGTAAATGTGATTTTAAATCAGCATACCTGGATAGAAATTAAGATGTTGATTTTGAATCATGACCAGACTGCGTAAACATATCATCCTGTCTTTGCTTTAAATTCCACACACAAACATTCTCATTACCAATATATCGTGAAATCTATATCGAAGGTAAATACAATCATACAAATAGTAAATCCTTAAACTCTGATACCCAAGTTTGTTGGCCATTATTGTCTGAACGTTTGAGCATGAAGTAAAATTGATGCGGAACCGATTACAATCCATCCTCCACTATCTATTACAATTACAACGCTCCATTGACTAAACGCTGCATACAATCACGTCCAGTTGGTCCTAGTACTGCCTTATTAGGGGCAAATATATCAATACAAAGAAGTCTCTTTAAATACATGTTCTGAATTTTAATGTTGTAATATTGTGTACCCTATATTTCAGACACATATAATGACATTTGAGAAATGGTTCCATCAATGGATATCTCATTTAAGAAATAAACGGCTCTGCTGCGCCCCTCATGGTTTATTCTCCCTGCAGTATTCTATTGTATGATAAACAATATTTCTTAAATAATGTACAATTTTAATAGCCCAGATTGCAAAGGTCGATGGGACAGTCTAGTGGTAATTGGCAGACCATGTAGGGAACATACATGTTCGGAACAATCAATTTTGTTTGAGGTGGGATAGTGGATTTTTCTGAAAAACTAATCCAGTCAGTCAGTTTCTAGAATAGATAATGTTCGTCCATATTGGCAAATGGCACTTTTTTGCCAGGCGAAATCAATTCACAAAACTGTTTGATAGGCATTTTTAACAAGTTGACGGATGAAAAAAAAAGATATAATTTGTGGATATAGAGATTACTACATGAATGTCTGTCAGATACCATTGATCTTACAACGAATTGTTTCAAAACGTATCTAACTAACGAAACAAGTTTATAACAAGTTTATAACAAAGTTTTACATATTTTTCAGGAAGGTGTTATCTGGAAAACCCAAGACAACACGATATGGGCTCGGCGTTACCTTTGGAGTTGATAACCATTATCGCTGACACCACCAGTATATAACGTGCATACCAAGACGTCAAAATGGCCTTGTCCTCAATGTTGTGTGACGTCGTTGATGGCAGGGTAAAGCTTGACGTCAAGGAGGCTGGTCTATCTGATGTCATTGTTTTTGTCATAGATGCTATACCAAAAACAGCCGTTACGGATTAACGTTTCGTTACAAGTCCCTGAAGTCTTTTTATACAAGGAACAACCAGTCATGCCACAGCAAACCTCCCTTGAATAACGATCCAAGGTGTATAACAAAGTTGAATGAGAACCAGGTGATGGCTGAGGTTCCAGACGTCCGGTAGATGGTAACAGTAGCAGTATCTCCTGACCCTGGTGATGCTGAGAACGACCACGGGCAGCGAAAGATACTCCATCCTCGCGGTTTGAGATCCATCACAACTGATAGCGGGGGCTGTCGGAGCAGGGTTGATATCCTGAATATGTCAGGAAAAGTGTTGAGATCAATCACAACACATGGCAAGCAAGACCTGTTATATTTTCCCTTTCTGTCTTAGCATGAAGGGCAAGGACAAGATTCTGGTGTCAGACTGGAAGAAGTCTTTGACCTGCGTAACGTCAGAGGAGAATATCCTGCGGGAGTACGTTCCTGTACGAGACAGGTTTCTGTCCTGGCATTCTATCCTGCTTGGAGACAAGGTGATCCAACTGACGGAGGCGGGGAAGTTTGTCAGTCATGTGATCACATCACAAGTTGAGGTTGGCGATTTACGGGGTATGCGTGAAGTGAAGAATTGTTCCTTGTGTGTTTGCGATGGGTCTGGAGTCAACATATTCCCGTTACCCCGTGACTGAATATACAGTGACGTGCAGCGGAAGATATCGAGAACGGTTATAACTTACAAACGTCATAACATTCTATTCTGCTTCCTTCTTTCTGCCTACTGTACATATTGTAATTGGATTTTGTAAATATTATGGAGAGGGTGTTCCAATCTGGACAACTTGTACCATATCCATTTTACTACAATGTATTGTGAATAGAATATGTTTAAAACAAGTAGTTGTTTGAGATCATTATGCATGTATGATTAATTCTGAATTGAAACCATCAACTCACAACTCTTGCACTGAGATTACGAATCTACTATTGTATCTGTTTGAGGCAGTATACGTGTATATCTTGTACAGTTTGGATCCAATATTCTAAATTTCCCTTTATGTCCTTTTAGGGAGAGGAAATTGTATGGTTTCCCTGAAAAAATATACTTGTATCGGGAACGGCTTCTGCACATGAAGAAGGCCTTTTGGACTCCTATTATGCATACAAAGTAGATAGTTACATTCTTTGAGTTTGCCTCATTTCTTTGAAGGGAATATGCACTTTCAACGAATATTATAAACCCAACACACGCACACACACACACACGCACACACACACACACACACACACACACACAAGGTATCATGTATCATAAAGTCATTTTCACAAGAAATAAAACAGTAAAGACTTTAACTTTGACATTAGTAGTGATAATAATAAATTATGTATGAATAGGTTTACACAAAGTTTGATTAAATGTCAACAAACATCAATATTTTCTTCACACTTCTTGATATGAGACTTATATCTTCTTTCACAGCTGCATTAAGACTACGCATATAAACACCAAGAACGAACATACATGTCCTGTTTTGTAACAAATGGTTTTGTAAAAAGGTGTTCGCGAAAGGTGGGTGTACTCTGCTTGACCGCCGTCACCTGTGACAAACACATGCAGAGGCAAGTCAAATGTTCACCCGAATAAACACTGGGACATATGGTACAAATCTAAAAAGGAAATTGCGTCAGATATCACCTTGGTTACTAATGCTTCAGGTGGAAGCATCAAATGGATGCTTTGGAATTGCCCGTAATACTGTAATACCACAGAACTATACTTATGTAGCACTCCAAGCTTAGATTTCTTCCTGGGGGCAATGGGATCCTGGCCATTCTTTTCTTGGTGCCATTTCAGACTTTTAGGAGACACATTGATTTAGGCTCACACAGTATTTAAAACATTCCAATTGTTCCAATGTTTCTGAACAACAAACTTTGAAATTTGCTGCAATAAAGAAAAGTCATTGAACAATTACCCTTGTCGAAAGACGCTATCTGGAACTCCCTTAGCCAATTACCTGCAACAATACTGTTGATGCCTTTTCGCTGTATTCCAGTGTTTGTTTTATGCATTCACTTGAATTTCGGATTAATTCATTACAATCAGACACATACATCCATAGCAGTTGAAGTAATCTCAGTCGCCTCGCATCCCAATGCTGAATTCTTTGACTCCACTATGTCCACCCACACCTGCATCTAATAGGACTGCTGGCAGTAATAGCTATAGTTATGGTATTCATGTTATTATTCTGTGATGGACAGTTTGACTCAGAGATGGCTCTTGAAAATATGTTGAAATATTCTTCTATGATTTGAACATGCCACCATCGTGAAAGTAAACTGAAAAATGTGCACCTTTTCAGCTTGTGAACAGTAATAAGTAGTGTCTCCAGTGTGAAAAAGGTACAGATAACCAGCTCAGAGACATTAAGTAGGTCAGTTGGTCGTGACGTCATGGTAACTAATGACATCACAATGCTCCTCAAAGCATTGTAATGTATTTTTAACGCAGAGATATCTCTTGTGTAAACCAGTTATGGATTAAAAATAAGCAGACGACAGACTGTTGTCGGGAATTTTTGTCATTTGTCAAAAAATATATTTATTGAAGTTTCCATTCATTAATTTTATTTGAACTGGAGGCCATGCATATCACAGGCCAGACACTGGAAAGTCCTACTACGTCTTGCAAGTAGTTCGCTTGTGGGCGTGGACTAATTTCTTTAGGTTAACCAATCAAATGCAACGGAATCACTTGCACTCACAATCATGGAATAAATTCAAAGGCTTCTTATCTAGTCATTAACACAAAAAGACTGTAGACGATTAAACATCCGATTGGGAATTGTTTTACTGGAGCCCAAGCAAAAAAACCTATGTACGTATAAAACGATCTGGTCATGCATACACTGACGTTGACTGAGGCTTCATTTTTACTCAAACATCTAAAAGTGAGAAGGAATGTATGCATAGTCAGAAAGAAATGTGAACATTTGCGATTTGTAGTTTGTTTGTTTTTAACCATGGTGCTGTTAATGTCATTGTCGTTAACAATATATCCTGTGACTAACCACAGGTCCATGTAGTCCCGTGGTAACCCGGGTTCTACTTAGGACCCACCCGCCCGAGTATCCGAGCTATCCATCCCAGCCCTACTGAAGCACTGACTTCAATGTGTTTATTACAAATAAACCATATCCCATCTTCTAATATATCTATAGGGTAGAGTGACATCGTGGTATCTCTTGAGCACATCGGGATCAAACCACCGACCCTTCGCTTTCCCGTCAGAGGCCCTACCTACTAGAACACAGAGGTGGTTTAATGAAGAGAAACAGGTTGCTAAGCACATAGTGTGAAGTGTAATGATGTGGAAATAATGTCTGTGGATACACCTTTCTATGATTATTCCCATCCCAATCAGAAGAGACCTTTTTGAGTTGTTATAGTGCATTTAATACTGATTATTGAATATATGAAATAGTTGATGTGACTACATGAAGTTGATTTCGTGTATATGACTTTCCTCACACACATACAGTGTGTCATGTCTATCGACAAACAACCCCCGTGGATCATAGCCAATGTGCTGATGATCTGTGCCATGATCCCCTGTCTCTGTCAGCTGTACCACATTGTTCTTGCCAGCAACCAGGATGTCTCCTGTTGAAGTAGTTGTGATACCAGAAGGGATGGGTGCTGTGTCTCCGGTAGGGGCGTATCTCCAAACAACATCCCCCTCTGACGTCACACATGTCACAGACTTCTTCTCCAAGTCAGACACGATTATGTTGTTCTTGTTGTTGACACACATATAGGCGGGGTAGGTAAACAGTGTCTCGTTGTGTGCAGTGACTGATCTCAGCACGTGTCCCGCCATGTCCAGGATATCAATACAGGCGGTAGTACCTGCTGCTAGAGATGAAGGACTCAGAACAGCTAGACTGAAGTACTCCTTGCTTGTTGTGATGGTTGAGGGCAGCACCAGGTCAGGGGTCACTTCTACAGTTACAGTCTGACTGGAGTCAGGGACAGCAACCATCACCTGGTTCTCCTTCAACTGTGTTACACCCCATGGAGAGTCATCCAGGGGAAGTCTACTGTGGCATTTCAAATTGGTTCTTGTGGACAGAGACTTCACACACTTGTTTTCGCTGTCAGAGACTATAGCTGCATGTATACCATTTACAACCAGGACTGTGGCGTCACATAGATAAGGCTTCTCTTCATCATCCGCCATCCTCCCATCTATCGTGTCAACCAGCACTGGAGACGGTAGACATGTACCCTGGTCCTGGTATGTGACCTCAATCTCCCCCAGCTGTAGGTCATCTAAGTTGTGCTGGACGTTGTCAGTGTCAGGTGTAAACCTGATGTCATCTATTCTCCGTGTGTCTGCTGTGTCTGTGTCCCTGACATCCCCCAACTCTACAGCCCCCGACTCCCAGGCCTGATACGCGTCAAACAGGTCCATCTCACAGTTCGATACCAAGGCCTGGTCAATGAACTCACAATGTTGTCTGTACATCTGCGTCTCAATCTGTTCAAGTTTTACATCTGCTTTAAGTTTCTTAGTTTGTTCGTCTGTAATATCCTTTACTTCATTCATCAGTTGTTTTTCTTTATGCTTGATGTTTGCGATGGCTCTCTCAACAGCAGATTTGAAGTGACTTTCTACTGCTATTTTGTTTTTCTCAATTACGCTAATTTTCTTGATTGCTTTCTGAACAATTGTATGTTTTCTATGTATTTTCTTTGACAACTGTTCAGCATTTTTTCTCAAGAGGAATTTCATTGTTGGCATCATTGACTCTATGGTAACGACTGACTCACATTTCCTGTGGTAAATAACACAACATGTCTGACACACAGCTTTGTGGCAGTCTTTACACACAAGCTTTATAACCTCATCCTTGTGTTCCCTGCATATGACCTTACGCCTCCTCTTCACCTTGACCTCCCCTGAAAGGTCACAGATTTCATGGCCATGTGATGCAGGATTTGCACAATGCATCTTGACACATCTCTCGCAGAGGAACACTTCTCACTCAGAACACCATGAGGCTCCCGGAGTTGTCTCCCCTAACTTCTCACACACAGAGCAACATGAAGCGGAACCTGTAAGTGGACATGGTAAGTGGAGATATCATAAATTTATTTTTATAAATTACGAGATAGAAAATTCAGGAAAGGTTATTCCCTCATCAATTGTTAGGTTATTAACAGGGCTTCCGGTATGGGTTTGGTGATAAAGTGTTGGCTTGTCAGGGTTATTTGATATTCTTGGGAGTTGGAAATAGGGGTGGATTTTGGGAGCCTAGGATTTGATCGAAAACTAAACAAATTGGATGAGAAAATGCTTGATTAAAATTATAATGATTCAGACATAGGCTGCCACAAAATTACCCTTTTTACTATTTTGATGTAGGCTCATAGTTCTAATTAAAAAGAAGCCGACCATTTGATATGGGATTTTGTATCGAGATTAGATGTTTTTCAGCCCCAGCTACAGAACCTGATATTTCAAAAAAAAATTTTTTATATATATATCTTTGAGCCTTAACATATTTTAAGAAATAATTACTTCCAATTTATTTTTTCAACAATCTGAAGCATAATTATGTTTAATAAGAATATTCGGGGAGAAGATATTTTTTTCGATAACATCCCCGCCTAAAGCCAACCCCTAAGAATATCAAATGTTTGTGCCCTTATTACATTTCGTAAAATTTGTAGACAATTAGCCATTTTGTTTTGATTATCGATCACCTGGTCACAATAACTGTTACATATATTAATATACATTATGTTCGCATCATATTCAACGTTATTAATGAACATGTTAATAAGTAGTATCGTAGCTAAAACACATAGTGCACCTTACTTACTGTGCCTTGGATACAGTAGAGACATACTTTTGACGAACTCGTCTTATTGATAAATGTGTATTTTCTAGTCAATTGTTATCGTTGGAACAGTGTCTCCCTGCAATAGTGTAAGTATACTATGCATTCAAAAAACATCAAATACCATTAAAATGCACATGTTATCAATACCTGTATTGACAGCACCAGCGTGTGTCAATCAGCCCCTGTATAATGATGCTGGGTTTGATCTGCCCCGCCCACTCCTCCACTGGCCGGATGGGGTGGGGGACCTTGGTATCTTGTCGACAGAAGGCACAGGGGATCGTCTTGGACTGTACAGCGTCTGGTCTGGTGTGGATGAATGCAGTGACACATTTCCTGCAGAATGTGTGATCACATCTCAGTGTACAGGGGTCCGTGTACAGTTCCTGGCAGATTACGCAGGTGAGGAATTCTGTTACTTTATCAGCTCGTGACGTCGCCATCTGTAAAACATAAATAACTGTTTACTTTTCCAAGAAATAATTTCAGCTGAAGTTGGTCCGTCTTTGTAATGGAGTTACATGTGTTTTGGGTGAGACAATAACATTTCTTGAGTGCGACTTCGGGCTAATCTTCCATATAAAGTTGAGACGCGATGATAACTGAAATACTGCTTAAAGCGGCATAACACCAAACACACTCACTCCATCATTAGCTTGTGTGCTGAAACGCCTCTGTATATACATATCGAATGAGATGTTTACACATGATTTCTTGACACAAAATTGAGCATATCGACCCTTCCATGGTGCTACAGGAAAAAAAATTCTACATCTTGACTTCATGTCAAACAAGGTGTTTCAGGAGCATGTGTCTATGTATTTGTTTATACTATTGTTTAATAAAATATATTCCTTCATTATAGTTTTCATAAATACTTACTCGCTCTGCTGTAAGAATAAGTTCGTTGTTTCCACACAATAAAGGATTTACCTTGAATAGATCAACCAAAACTGAATATGTGAATATATTGTGATCATGTGAGATGAGATTTGATGTCAACTTCAATCATGTATAAGAGGCAGTAAACTGTCGTCATTGATTCAAATGCGCATTTGTTTTCATATTGAAAGCTAACTTTAAAACAACTACCAACAGGGTCCTGTATTTATGACCTGTAATTCACCTCCGTCAACGACAACCAAGCATTGCTTTACTGATAATAGACACACACCCTCACAGTACAATACAAGGGAGGTAACTGTGAACGTCAAGAACAATAAAAGAAATTTACATCAATGTATTTCACATTTCTTTATAACCTTGGGACCAACAATTCCTACTTTCGGTTGCTCTTCGTTTAATGTTTCGTGTGTTTTCAAGTCTAAATTTAAGAAACACAAACCTTATATAAGTTTGATACTGCCTATGTCCTGAATAAACAGGTATAGTAGTTCTTCATGGGCACTGTGTGAGATTTAATTGTATGTCCTGGATGCCTTGAAATAACCAAACCCCGCCGAGGTACACACCTGTGCCTACCTGTCCCTTCCTCATGACATACAAGGGAGGTAACTGCGAAATCTCGACTAGTGGTGATTCATAAGCGATCAAATCTGATGGCAACGTAGGTTCCTGGATCGAATCAAGGATAATTCTTGTAACAACGCAAGAGATCGGCACATTTCAATATACATACACGGGACACACTGTAAACAGCATTTTATAATATCCTAAGATGTCCTACGCATTCGTATTTGTACAATTATGTGCCAAAATGCATGTGATGTGGTTTGCAGCAGAACAAGAAGTAAAAGGTTGGAACAGCGGTTATGTGGCAAGTGTGGTGATCGACATGTCATAAATGTTACAACTAAGAAATATACCACAGATAAAATAGCTTTTCCTGAAACGTTAAGCAAAATCATACCAATATCACCAAGTAATGTTAACGGGCACACCGTCATGTAATGCAAGTCACTGCAAAAATGAAATAATCATGAAAGTGATATTGGTCCCTATTTCACCTCCGGGGCTTAGTGTGTAATTATAGCATTGTATGCCATATTATCGCGGTAGTTAAATTATAATGGATCGTAACGGCGCACGCTTACAAACTTATAAAATATGTCATATGCAAAATGTTCCTTGTTCTTGTTCAACTTTTATGACACATCCATTAGGAATGATCGATGCTGATTTTCTTTACCGAGTTCGGTAAACAAAGTACCTGACATTGGCGACACAAGGGCGGGCAGCTCTATATTACCGAGGTATCACTGCAAACACGAAAACGTCGTTTTTTTCCGTATATGGTCATTGGACGGAAAAACGACGTTATTTGGACGTTTTCAAACCATCGTTTTTCCGTCCAAATAACGTCGTTATTTGACATCGGAATTTACTGGGAGAGAACGATACCGTTAAGCTCCTCCCTTTCTTGATTGACATTGTCAATCAAGCAACAGCGTCTACCGGTATTTCTACTTCTCAGATTTCATTGGTCAGTCCTCGCGTGTTAGATTACAGGCCCGCGTTTGACGCTGCACTCGAAGCGCTAAGCGGAAGTACTGAAATCAATCGTTCTGCGCATGCTGATTACTAATGCCTTGACCAAATTTTCCGTTCTGTGCATGCGCGATTTCGAGTATTGTTTCCTAGATTTAATGTCACCACTATTTGACAATGATTCATAAACACAGTCACGTGAAGGTTCGGAATCGTAACAAGTAACTCCATTTAAATTGAAGAGGATCCCCAGTGATATGGGAGATTCCAAGATGAAACTATTCTATGGCTATCTAGGCTGCCACCCAAACCGATCTAAACGGGACCCGATAGCTTATTGTATGCTATATAGTCATATAGAAGTGGACAAGAACTATACATTGTATTCCGGCCGATTGTTCTTGCATTTACTTCTAAGTCAGGAAAATGGACATAAAAGGGGAGTTGTTGAATGTAATTATTTTAATTATTAAATGTTGCCTATACACTAATCTGGACGAACTTCTCATTGTTCTGTTTATGTCATCCTATATACTATTAGTATGTTACCGTTCTAAAGTCAACCTCTGACATAACATTATATTGTTCATAGTATCAAAGTTTAATCAACAATATCAAGAGCAGCAATTTAAACCACTGAAACACCCAAACACAAGGCTGTTATCAAGCGCTAGTGCAGACGTGATGCATCGTAAAAACTGTATCGTGATGTCTTCAGAAATTCAATTTATTATACTACGAGATAGTACGGCTAACGATTGAATCACGGGGGAACGAAGACAATATCGCTAATACAGATATAACGTATTTGAATGTTAATACTTAAAGACAAACAATCATTATTTTTGCAGTGACGATATAACACTTATACACGTTTATTGGTAACTTTCATCAGTTTTGCTCTTCATTTTAATAACTGTGTTTTCACATATATATGTAGCAATTGCAATACCCGACAAGCATGTCATACATAATTATGGGGCAGTTTTCAATCTTGTACTGACTTAATCTGGTGTTAATGAGCGAAGTTTATTGGCTTGTGTGTAAAACCCCGTTTTTCTGGTAATCCTATTATTACTTAGTTTATTTCTATCTAATGACACCCTGTTTTCTGGATCATGGCTCCGTGACTATCCATAACAATTAAGATGAACATTCAGTTCAAGTAAATGAATGAGTTTGTTTTGACGCTACAGTCAGTCAAAAAAACAATGCTGTGAGGTTTGATAACACACTTCTACCAGGTCGAACATCGTGGATCCTCATTTTCTGCCTAAAGAGAACCATAGTTCATATGCTAATCCATCTGCGAATACCCTCCCACTCAAGATGACCTTACTTGTTACTAAATCTATCATCTATACCCCCCATCTCACCCCCACGCCCCCACCCCACACACGCACGCACGCACGCAAACACGCACACACACACACGCACGTACGCACGCGCACACACACACACACACACACACACACACACACACACACAAACACAAACACAAACACAAACACAAACAACGGACCTAAATAACCTGGACAGTAAATACTGCTGATAGCCTCAAGTCAACTCAGCCGCGCCACCGCAGAATGTTCGTCCAACTCTGCAGGGGGCATTCTCAGTGGCTTCAAACGCGCTGAAATGTTTTCGCCTTGCATCCAAGATGGTGGACAAGTGAAATCGAATGAAATTTGGCTATTTTAGGTCCTTTCTCTTTTTTGATTACTCAATAAAGTCAATTCATAGTTACACGGTTGTGAAGAAGCTTACAACTTTATAAGACTTATTCATCTCATTCCAAAAAAGCTACTCACACTAACATAAAGTTGTAGTTATTATGTCACTGTTTTATTTCTTTAAAAATATATTTCATGTTCAACAATAACAATTAAGATGAACATTCAATTTCCGATATAAGTAAATGAATAAGTGTGTTTTACGCCACAATCAGTCAAAGACCAACGTTGTCCGGTCTGATGACACACAATCTACCAGGCAGCATATTGTGTACACCCTATCCCCATTGAAGTCTCCACTGTGGGTATTCCTGGGGACGAAAAGGCCCCATGTACCTAGGAATTTCATCAATACATTCATGCGCGGCATTCTCTGCCTAAAGAAGATCATATAGTTAACATGCTTATCCAACTCGAACTACCATCCCGCTCAAGATGAATGTTTTATGTAACATCCAACAGGCCCACATTTACGCACGCACGCACGCACGCACGCACGCACGCACGCACGCACGCACGCACGCACGCACGCGCACACACATATTTGGATTTACCAATCCCTGAATTGAGAAGACGTGCGCTACGAAGCTCCTCCAAGTCATCATCAATATCCGTATATGTCTGTGTTATCATTACCCATCCAAAGCCGAATATACACTTATTGTGCTTTCTTGACAACAAATGTTATAAATGGGATAACACTTTCGGAGTAAAGTACAGATTCTCGTACTTTCTTGGGTTGAGTCCCGTCCGGGATTTGAACCCACACTGTGAGTGGGGCACCCAATCGCCAGAACACAAAGTTGGCGATCTAACCCAGCCACCGAACCAAAAATGTTAGTCCAGATGACGTATACTTTGTGTTCTCCTCTGACAAGAGAAAAATGGCACGGCTTCTATGGCCGAAAGCTTTGAACCAACAATGCCTTTAAGAAAGTGGTCAACAGTAACACACATTATATTTGGATACCACTTTCTCAGTACACTACATATTTTTAGGGTGGAGATAATAGACGTTGATGGTTGATTATCAATGTACAAATTAAAGCCAAAACTTAACTTATGAATGATTGGTAATGGGAAATGGACAATGGGCAAACGGGAGGCGGGGAAATCAGCGCCAGTTATCTGTTGGCTTCCCTTGTTGCGTTCCCTTCTTTGCTATCTTTTTACTTTTGTTGTTCTTACAGGTACAAATATATGTTCTCTGCCTCATAGCATTTAATAATATTCACCTGATGAAGGAGAAAGTATATATTCCGAAACGCAGTGTTCCTCCGTTGACATCCATAAATATTTTTCCTTGTGTGTATCAGTTCTTAATGCCCTTCAAAGACTCAATCTAGCTTTCTTTTTAAATGTGGTGATATTTGCGTAGAATATAATATGGTCATGCCTATATACATTTGGGTCCTTGTCCACATAAGCATTTAGACATACAATTTAGAGCTAAGGACATTGCTAATTCTGCAGGAATGAAGTACACGTCATAGCAAGCTGTGATCTTTATTCATACTTTAGATATTCGTAATGGAGATCTGTAACTGAAGTTTACCGTAATCTTCCGCAACTCTCACCTCCTGACCAGTTGAACGTCTTAGTGCATTCAGATGCCATTGTAAAATTCCAGGCTGCCCCTCTTTCTGTGATGTTTTGACGGATGAAATCTATTGCGTTATAATACTCTATGTTTGCTGATATATAATATGTACATGGTGTAAAATATTTACGATATTTTAAACGTGTAATTCGATGCATATGCAATGCAATGTGAACATAAGTGCGGATGCACGAAGGCGGTTATAGTCATAGTTATACTGCGATGGATGTAGGGGAATGGTAGGGGGGTGTATGTATGTATGAAAGCACGAATACCGACACATGAGGGCGGATATAGTTATAGTTCGATGGATGTTGGGGAATGGTGGGAGGATGGATTATGTATGAAAGCATGCGCATGGATCCATGCTGGCTGACGTGGACATAATGGTGGGGAAAGAAGAATGTGAATCTTTTGTTTCACTCACTTATAGTGTTTTCTTTCACTCAAATACTGTTTTACGCATTTTAATGACTGAAACTGCAGTGACTCAAAGGTCATACTGGCCGGGCTTTTAACATATCTACCCCAACTACATACGTAGCCATTTTTATGGTGTACAATTCACACACACACACACACACACACACACACACACACACACACACACACACACGCATTAATTGTTTTATTAAATGTATCTTCGAGAGTCAGTGATAAACTAGAAATAACTGCCTTTGTTCTGTAAACCTCACCAAGTTTCAGC